GTAACGATAGTGAAGATTAAGATAATTACATTATAGCCAATCTTACCCATTTTCACAGAATGCAAGAATTAGGTCCCCCATTTCTGGACTAATTAGAGAATTTTTACATCCAGTCAAACGAACTATTTTCAATTTGATCAATTTTCTGGAACGTTTAAAATCGTTCTATAATTGAACCAATTCGAATTTAAATTCAAATTCAAAAATTTTTAAAATCGAAATAGAAAATCTTCCACTTTCAACCCCATATCTCCCGCACCCTTATAGCTATCGAGACGCAACCACCATAGTGCACGAATGGAGACTTGGGGATACTACCACATACAAACACCATTCACGTGCGATGTGTAGTTTTGGCAAAAAAGTGAAATGTAGGGACACACACGCCCATTTATATATATATATAGATGTCTCCAAAGTTCAGCGAATTTTTCGCAGAAAAATAACTTATCAGAAAATGCACCCGCTGTTCAATGCGCCACTCTGCGACGAAAATAAGCTTAAACAATGGCATCATCGAACGATGCATAGTTGGTAAGTAATCCTACAATTTTTTGTTTATAGCATAGTTTGTGGATTATTCCCAAAAAATTATACGTGTTTTGGAAATGTTGAGTCAAATTAGTCTAGAATGAAAGGTTTTCTTCCATAAAATTAATCGAAACAGCCGTAGTCAATAAACTGCATACGTGCTGGGCTGTGATTGGCTGATGTATTTAAGTGACTTGTACAACATGGAATTCATATAACACGGAACGTATCTACCATGTTATGGGTGGGTCTACTCTATATATATTTGATTTTAAAACTGACTATAGGTATTAAAGTTATAATACAAGGATGACTAATCTATGGCTCTTCTAGACCTTACTGTGGCTCCCACATATAAAATTTCTTTTTATGAACTTGGTATGACCATACCTCGACAAAACCCTTTAATATGCAGCCTTTTTTTTTATTAACTTTGAAAATGTTTTCAGTCATTTGAATGACCTTCAGGATTTTTTGTTCCTGAAGGTCATTCAAATGGCCAAAAATGTTTGAAAAGTTAGTTTAAAAAAAAAAGCTGCATATTAAAGGTTTTTGTCGTGGTTTGGTTGTTATTTAAGTGCAGTTAGAGAAGAGTGTGAATTTGGTACTCAAACTATTTACAAAAATATTATATATGTTTAAGTTTCCCTGACTATTACATCGTGTAATATACACAGAGGTTGTAACTGAAAACTTAGGTTATATTCATAAAATTGAAGAAATTAAATGATTGTTTACCTAAGTATTACGCAAGTAAAGTAACAGTAAACATTGTACAAGTAGAGTAATAGTGATATTTACTATAGAACAGTGATAATTACATTCATTATATATAGTTAAAATACTATAAACATAGGATGTGGCTCTGATGTATTTCCAATAGACAGTGTATGGTTCCTATTGACAGGTTTGGCTACCCATTATAATACTGGAGTTAGTTCCAAAAAAAAGAAAACTGCTTGCTTGAACAAATCTTAATTACTGACTTATACATATCAGTTATTGTAAACATCTTGTTAGAAAAATGTAGCAAGCAACAAAATACAAACTTGTACACATTAGGCCTACAATGTTATGTTAGATAACGAAGGTAACATAACATATTTCATTAAAAAACTTATAATCCATTCTTGGGAGATTAGATATTATATTGAACTGTTCTATTTTTACTTATGTATTTAAGAATTATTATACTACTATACTATTTAAATTTATCTTAAGGTCTTCCAAATCTTTTAATGTAATTTTAATATTATAAAAAGCATAAAATGGATTAATACAAGTTAGATATTTTTCCACAATCTAGTAACTTTTTGATTTTGTTTAATAATTCAAATGCTTGGTTTATGAAATATTGTTTTATTAAGGTATTGTTTATTGCAGTTTTAATGAATTTAGAGCTAATTAATATGATGCATTTAAAAAATTTCATAAGCTGCTATTTTTAGAATTAACCTTTACATTTTCTGGTTCTTGTTTTTTTGATTTACCATCTATAAACTTTACATAGTCTAATTAATTATAAGAAGTATTTTATGAGAAATTATTATTATATTTATACACAGACTGCTTTATTAGTTAGAATAGTGATATTAATTCAATATTTTTTAAATACAAAATGAAAAAAAAAAACTGTCAACAAGAAAAATTTCATAGAGAGGAAACATTCTGGTAAGATTGAATGAATTTATTAAATATTTGGATATAACATATTTGTTCAGAAACTCTTCTCCAAACTAATCAAAAATGATAGTTCAGCAATAAATTTTGCTTTATATGTTAGAAATTCCTTCAATTTTACTAGCAATTTTGAAACATAATCATCATCATGTCCCATGGGTTGTCAGGGTTGGCTCATTCTCTGTTTACAGACTGGATTACAAAAGCATGAGGGCATCTTCAGCAGCACAACCTTGCAGATACCAATGGGGAATTTTCAGCTCCAGTCTCCCGAAACAACTGCTTTTGATGACAGACTGCCCAATTTCATGCACTGAACTTTCTTCTCCATCCTATCCGCAGAATGATCTGAACCAAACTACCCGAATTAAATGTCGCAGTTCAATGGTTTCGCCGTCCTCTCAACTTAAGAGAGTCGGAGGTAGGAAGCTATCACCACAGAACCAGTCAATCAGAAGTCCTTATCGAAAGTCTCCCAAAAAACTTGCACCAGCAAGAGGTAAACTGGGATTGCCTTTCCTCATTTGAAGATTTTCAAAATATCAAGCAGCAAGCAAACAATTACCATTCAAATAGAAATTTTCTGTAATAATTATTTAGATACCTTGGTGCTTTCATAGCTTAATTTAGTGACTTTGTGTGTTTATAAATTTAATTTGTGTATATAGAACATTTTAAAATGTATGGGAAAACATAAATTTAATGTATGTGAATTAAATTTTTTTTATGTGAAATAATTGTTGTAGAATTTTTAATGTTTATAAATTTTAAGCACTAATCTTATTTGTTTTTTAAGACAGACAATGCAGGTTTGCTATTAAAAACAAAAATTAATATAATTATATAATGTTTTTTCTCAACAATAAATTTCAACTTTTTGCACATATGGAAAAATCCTGTCTTTAAAACTTTCATATTTTTTCATAGATTTGTATAAGTGCTATCTATAACAGTAACTTTTGTATATTTGTCATTGACAGTCTATATATAAAATTAAAGTTGAGATAATTTTGAAATAGTTTGTGTAATTGACACTGTATATCTTGTCTGTTGTAAATTGTACAGAAAATATAAATTTTAAAAAATCATTGATGCTGCTGTTTATTTTATATTCAGATCTTCATATACAATTGAAAATGTGTCACAAATTTCTTACTGATAATCAATTAGTAAATTATAGATAAATAATGATTGTAAGATTTTTTTATCTAATTTTTCTTTTCAGAATTTTCCTGTACTTACCAAAATCAATAAGTAAACATTGCAAATAAGCTGATATTTTAAAATTGATGATTTAATGCAGGGCTTCTTAAACTATGGGTCGCAACCCCATTTGGGGTCGCGAGAATTTAATGCAAAATATTGAAAATAATTTGAGAGTTTGAAAATGGCATGCTTTGTGTCACTTCTGGTGCAGCGAGACAATGATTCAGCAACACTAATTGTTGTGTGAACTAGTGTAGTGTTGTCGCTTTTCAGTGTATTCAGTTGTCTCTGTTCCATTCTAACACAAGAGTGAACTGTGGTAGTACACCATTATTGTTTTTGCAAATTTGTATATATCTTTATATTTTTTTGGGGTCGCGAAAAAAAATCTCAATCATAAATGGAGTCGTGAATAAAAAAAAGTTTAAGAAGACCTGATTTAATGTGTAATATGGTTAGATCAGAAAACTGGTTTAGTATGATGTCTGGTAATATTAAAAAATTTTTACACATTCAAAAGTACAAGGTTAAGCAGTTTATATAATTGTTCATGCTACTTTTTTCAAAATTAAAATTGTGAATAGGATTTTATTGAATTGTTTTTATATCAACTTAGACTACATTTTTATTTTACAAGTATAAACATCAAAAACCCTATTCTTGACTCTCATCATAATATAATATAACTTGAACCCCCCCACTTACGTGTCTCCATGGTAAGTGGGGGGTTCAAGTTCTTCTCCAGGTCAATTTTTCTTCTTGGACTTTCTAAATTAAATAATTTATTATGAGATGGTGACTTGATCACTTACTTACCGCTAGGTAAAATTATTAATTGTAGTTGTAATATAGTCCATTGCAATCTTGCAGATCATTTGGTATTTTCATTTCTATTTACTTAAATTTATTTTTAAACACATTTTTCTGTAAAAATAAAAAAAACTCTAATATTAAAACATTTTTTTTCTTGATTACAAAGTAGGATTTAATTTTAATTAGCCTAAATGACAATACATATTACAATTCTTATACGTATTTCTTTTAATTGCAAAAGAAACACTTCTTATACAAATTTAAATTCTGTTTCTGAAAATACTTAAAACTAATAATACAAAATTCAAATGAAGTGTGACTCCATAATTCTCATTTTAATTTTTACATAATTCAGAACCAAAAATAAAATTGTAAAATAAGTTATTTTTGTATTTAATTAATTTAATTTCTGTCATTAGCATATGCATTAAATAAAATTTTGATTTTACAATGAAAATATTTTCTCACTAACAAAATCAGCTTTGATGCTGTACTTTTTATATAAATTGTTTAATACTAAAACATGTAAGAATAAAACACTGCAATCTTTATTTATTTTCAAACTTACATAAACTATTTTATGAATATAAATAAATACAGGCTTCCCTCGTATAAACACAGTTTAAGAATTTGAGAAATCCTCAAATCCATACAAAATTTCATAACTTAAATATCAAATAATGGAGTTTGCACTTTTTCTTCAAGTAAAAATGCATGCTTTCTAAAATTTGTCAATGGGTTTTAGAATATTAAAATTTTCAACTGGTTTTGTGCCTTTCATCAGGTTTACTTTAATGAAAACTGACAGGAAAATTAGGACAAGGAAGAAACAAATTGCACTATCAATCAGGTGTCATTGCTTTCAGGCTTTAGCCTTTAAAAACTTACTGTATTTTGGTTTTATGCATTAATCTTTGTACTTACCTAAGATGTTTATTTAAACTTTTTTCAAAGTTTAACAATACTTAGTAAACACTAAGACTGGGAATAAAGTGTGTCCAAAAAAAAACAAATCTATGAATCTTATAAATGAAATTCCAGTATAGTGTAATGAAAATTATTTGAAAACACTCAAATACATAAATAATGCACAAGTGTATATAATAGCGAGGTTGTGGCATAAGTTTTCATCTGTGAAACATGAACGTCAAGTGCCGCTATCTGGTAAGCGACATTCAACGTTCATGTTTTAGAGATGAAAACTTCGGCCTCAACCTTGCTAATGTTCCTTTCCTCACATTCCATTTTGGAACATGTTAACCTGAAGATCTCCTATGTAGATCAAAAACATTTGTATTTTATCTGCATTAAACTATACTGGAATTTCATTTATAAGGTTTATAGATTTGTGTTAAACTTTTTTTTTTGCTGAGGTAAGTAATCATTTGTAAAAATGACAAACTAAATACTGCAGTATCTTGAACAATTTGGTATTCAGTTAAAAAAATCAAGTTGGGAACAAACACATTCTGGAAAAAAATAATCACTTGGTTCTTGATTGAGCAAAAACAAACTGCTAGAACAAATTTTCAATTAACAACATATTTTTATGTTTTATTTTGTCATACATAAAAGATTTTTATGGTAAAAATAAAAGTGAAGACCTTTATCAGAAATATCAACAAAAAAGCTCGGCTTTTTACAAATTATTAACTAAAATTAACATTAATGTATAATATAGTACTTTTAATTGTGATTGTTAGTTAATTATTGATTGCTTTAATAAACATATTTCTCTTAGTAACAAAAAAGAATAGTATACTTTTGTTAACTTCTGGAACCTAACAGTATGTTTTGCACTAGTCCTTTGTTTCGTATAGCACAGAATTACATAACAGTGCACTTTTTTGAAATGTAACTACGTTGTTATACAAGAGATCTCTGTACACAGTATTTGACTATATTGAAATCAACTGTATTTAAATCTCAATACAGTATGCTCTTAAATAGTACCAACAAATAGCTGTGAATTAGTGTCAGTTTCAAAAACATTGAGAAATAATACTGCTAAATTTATAGTTCTTGTATTAGGTTGTTACAAATTAAATAGCTGATTTTTACTTCTGACTTTAAACTTATTTAATTTAAAACTTAAATATTCAATCAAAATTGTCTCCACCAACATTAATGCAATAGAAATGTTGATAGAAATCTTGAGAATGATAAGCNTACAGTAGAACCTCGAAAACTCGGCCTAATGTGGACCGAAGGGTGGCCGAGTTTGTGAAAATGCCGGGTTATCGGGAATGGGGTTAAAAAAATAAGTACGAGTGTTTCCTCAGAAAATACTGTACTGTACTTGTATGTATTGTTTACTTGAGAATATAACAGAGAATAAACTGCCCAAATACCCTTAAACAAAGGAAAAGTACATCCTTTATGAAGGCATAGAGCCTTTACTACATGAAAATGAAAATTAATGAATACACTGTGTACAATAATTTACCTGATAAGACAGACCTCAGAAAAATACTTTATGAGAGCTTTTATACTTTTATAAAGCTGTCTATAATGAAAATTAATTAATTAAGGATTTTTTTGCCCTGCCAGGGTGTGGCCGAGTTATCCAGAGTGCCGGGTTATCGAGAGCCGAGTTTTCGAGGTTCTACTGTACTTATTTTTGTGACAAATAGAAATGTTGATAGAAATCTTAACTAAGCTTTTTTGAACCATTGCCTGGTGGCATGCTCACTCTCAGAACCTTCACCAAGTTTTCTTGATAATACAGTGAAGCAACCCGAGGTATGTCTCTGCTTATACTTGTAAAAGAAAATTATTCGTTTTCATTTTTTCCATGCCATCAGAAAAATACTCTTACTCTTAAACATGTGGAACTCACAATATAAATGAGATTACACTTTTAAATTCATATATAATAGATGTGCTCTTCCAATTACAAACACACAGCACTAGTCACATGGAAAAAAGTTGAAATACAAGGTTGGAAAGTTTAAATTAAAAAACAGCCATTTCGTTTGCATCAACCTAAAACATGATGTAGAGAGAGATTTTTGTGCACCAAGATATGGTATTAAATGCAACATAATACTGTCGTATTTCCATTATTAGAACAGTTTGATCTATAAAGAATAACATTTATAATTTATAGCTAAAGACCAACAAGTATTGAAGAAGCAAAGCCATTTGAAATAAATGAGAGAAACATTGATTTTGGGATAAACATATAGAAAAGTCTACATGAAAGAATTGCTATTAACTTGTAAGCATATATCAATCAATAAAAATTTAAGTTTTTACTTAATTATAAATTAAATTGTTTTTCAAAATACTTATTTCCATATAAATTCAGTCAACAATTAACCTATGAAAATGAAATTGTTCTATATGTTGCAAAGATTCTAGCAATAATTTTATTTTCTTAAGCAATGGAATAAGTATTAATCAATATATAGATGGATTAGTGTGAAATGAATTTATAAATATCTTTTTGATTTGTAGCTATATTAATATTAGAATATTTTAATATGTATTTAATAGTTATTTTTGTAAAAAAGTCCAAAAATTGCTGTGACAACTATAGAACAACAATATTAACTATATCAAAACTAGATTCTCAGAAAATACTTTTTCAATGGTTTTCTGAGAATCCTGGTTTTTGTATACATTTTCTGATTTTACACATAAGTATAACAGTTACATTAAAAGTAAGAATAACAAGAGATACTTAGGTTTCTTAATGAAACATCCACATTTCTTGGAATTTAGGATTTTATTATCAATGGACAATTTTCAACTGAAATTCATCTGAGTGGTGAATATTTTCATGATACTCAAAAGTTACAAATTGAGTCCCTGAATTTAAATTGTGCCAAACTGACAGTGGCTGCATGAATTTTTCTTGTTTGAGAATTCCTGATCTAAACTATACATAATACAGACAAACAAGTTAATGAAAGATTCTTGGAAGAGCAATGGAAATTTTGCATAGTAGCATGCATCCTTTTCAATGTTTTTACTAAGTCTTAGAGAATTCA